ACACATATTTGCATATACACAGTTATTACTGGAAATACATACAATAAACAGGCAAAAATGGCTGCATGGCTGTCTACGGGAAAGAACTGCAAACTACAGCAGAAAAATTTGTCCTTTATTTTTTTTAAAAAGGGTCTATGCTGGCTCTTTAATTTACCAACTATAAAATTTAAGTCACAAATTCTGTATCTTCTAACATGAAATGATTATTTAAAATATTAGCTAACTCCCTTGCTGGAATGTAAATTCCATTGGGGCGAGAACTGTTAACAGTTTTGTTTACCAATGTGTCTGCCTAGATAATCCCTATCACATATTGAATAATCAAAAAATAGCTGTTAAATGAATTTTAAATTAAGAAAACAGTGGCCTAAGGAATCAACCTAATGCTGTAAAATTGGCAGAGCTCGGACTAAAAGTAAAGATTCACTACTCTTGTGTTCCATCATCTCTAGAAACTAAGACATGATAATTTAGTTTGGTTATTTAGGGGTTGGAGAACTAGAGAAGTATTTTGCCAGGCAAAATAAGTGGAAAAAGGCATAAATTTAAAAATCTGTCATATTTTTCCCAAACTGTCAGTTTGTTTCATTGATAAGGGCAAAGAATTATAAAAATACAATTCCTGCACATTGCCTACACATAACAGGTACTTAAGAAATATTTGTTGAATGAAAAAACTTGTTTCCACATCATTTATTATCTTGTGACCAGGGAAACTGACTTAAATGTCTGTTAATCTTCCTGTTACACAGTCCTTTAGTATTTTCAGTCTCTCATACAATTATGTAAGACTTGACAGAAAACAAACATTCACTAATCAATTCCCTGCAGATAAGAAAGGAGATAAAGAGATGAACTAAAAGATGTTCCTGGCTGGAGGATCTCTCACACAATATGCCTATGTGTAAGTACTGGGCAGAGGGCAATACAGGCACATCAATAATGAATATGAAATCAAGTTGTACTGTTATTGAAATTTATTTGTGTCTCAAATAAATGAAACAAATTTTTTACAATCACAAATTAAATTTTAAAATTAATAAATTTATAAAGTTTATTGTTAATAGGAAGTACATTAGAATGGATCAATAGGGAATATTTTTTTGTTCCACACCTTTAGAATATACCTTTTCTTTTACTGTTGCATGCCACTGAGTCAATCAGGACTCTGATCCTAGACTACGTAAACTAATCAAACAGTTTTCAAACTGTAACCTTTACTCTGGTGGTATAATGGCAAGAAGCTGAGCTGCAGTCCTGGAGGCACACAGTTCGAGGCTCCATGGGAGAATAGGCCATCTATTACCGTGCAATGAATTGCCTCTGAAAACCTGCCAGAGAGTCAGCTATGAGTAGGTTCCAACTCTACTGTACACAACAATCACAACAACAATCTTTACAAGTGCAGATAACTTTTTCTCCTTTGGAACAGCTGATTGGTTTGAAATGCCCACCTTTCAGTTAGTAGGCATTAATTAGATCACTGCACATTATTGTCTTTTTTTCTTCTTGTGTGGCATCGAGTCGGATCTGACTAGCACAGGAGATTGCTCCTCTTTCTCCAGTGGAGCATCTAGTGGATTCGAACTGTGTATCTTCAGGATTGCAGCGTAGCTTGGCCACCAGAGCTCTCTACAGTTTTGTCTTTTAATTGTCTTAAAAGTAAAATATTATCTACAACCAGGAGAGGAAAATATAGATGAATGGGACCCTCAGAATCAAATCCCTATGCACATCCAAAAACTTCTCCAACAGGAAAGAAAAGGAAGCCACATACTGGAAAAAATACTTGGTAATGACATGTCAGATGAGTTATATCTAGAATTTGTAAAATACTTGAGCACCACAATAAGATAAAGGAAAACAACTCAAGTGAAAAATGGGCACAGGATATGAACAGACACTTCACCAAAGATGACATTCAGATGGCAAACAAACACATAAAGAAATGTTCAAAATCCCTAGCTCTAAGAGAGATGCAAATCAAAACAAGTATAAGATATCATCTCACCCCAGTCAGAATAGCAAAATTTAACAGAACAGCAAGCAACAAATGCTGGTAAGGTTGTGGAGAAACTAGAACCCTATTCACTGATGGTGGGAGTGTAAAATGGTGCAACCACTATGGAAAGTTGTATGGCGCTTTCTCAAAAAGTTGCAAATAGAAACACCATTTGACCCAGCAATTCCACTACTGGGAATATACCCCAAAGAAACCATAACTGCCACCCAAGCAGATATATGTACACCCATGTCTATCACAGCTTTGTTCACAATAGCAAAGAGTTGGAAACAACCTAAGTGCCCATCAGCAAATGAATGGATAGAGAGGCTGTGGTATATTCACACGCGAATACCATGCTGCATTGAAAAACAGGAACTCATGAAGTATCTTACAAAATGTCCCTTGAGGACATTATGCTGAGTGAAATATCTCAGTCACAGAAGGACAAATACTGCATAGTGCCACTGTTGTAAAACAGGACTGACAAAGAGCTTGGGGGGAGAGTGAGAAAGATGGGATAAATTATGTATACTGCACTGAAACAGATGAGGGTTAGAATTGTTTAAAAGGGATATGTGATTAGGTATTATTGTCCTGACAGAAGTCCAGAACGAAGGCTGCATAATGTAGTGGACTTGGGGGGAGGGACTGTATAACAATTTTTCTTTTACTTCTCAAAGAGAAGAGTGAACTGGGGGAGAGGTTGGGCAGGGAGAAAAGTGAAACAATGAATGAATGGAAATCTAAAGTCTCTGTAAACATTCATGAAAATTAATAAAAATAAAAATTTAAAAAAGTAAAATATTCTAAATTGACTTACTTGAATCACCAATATAAATGAATCATCAAAGCATATCTCTTCATCAGGAGACACTAAGACAGTATTTACTCCTGACTCTGTATTTATTGAGTGTACATTATAAATAATAACCACAAGAATATATTTCAATTACTTATGGGACTAAAAACTGACATGACGACAATCTCTAAGGGATAAATGATAAAAAATAGAAACTAAATGCACAGTGTAACTCTGAAAATAACATAACGCCTCAAGTAGAAGCAATTCTAGAAAAGTCTTCAAATGAACTAAACTATCAGAGCGGAAAACTCATGCCAGAACTGGCCAGCAGACCCAGAGTAACAGCCTGCCAACAGGGATCTTGTTTAATTCAAGTCATTAACTAGACTCACAGAAAGTTAACACCCAGAAATCAACATTGCCATTTAAATTTAAGTTTCCAGAGGGCTCTTCCAAAGAAATTCACAACCAAGAGTCCAGGTAATAAAGAACTCTTCTCTCTTACCTGCTTGTCAAAACAGAGCACTACCAATTCAAGTGGGAAATAAACAGGTTTTACTTAAGAGACTGAGTAACTCTTATAAACAGAAGTTGGTTATTTCACTTGAGGCACATCTCACTTGTGGGAAAAAGACTTTTTCAAAATTCTGTTTTAGAAAGAAACACATAATTTCTTTTTTTTTTTTTTTCATTTTCCACCATTTACTCTTGTTATCAAAAACAGTTCAACTCTTCTTGCAAAACAAAAACAAAATAGTACATACTGGACACATACATCACATTTTTCTTCCTAAGAAACACAAAATTTCTTGATCCTAGCCCAGAAGAGTAAAAAAAATTATCTGTGTTAAAACCTAATAAATTAAACTGAATTCACAGCTGTCAAGTAGGAACAGACTCAAAGCTGAACCTTCAGTGGGTTTTCTGAAGCTAAATCACATGGGATATTGTCCATTTTTCTTCAATGGAGTTGCTGGTAGATTTCAACCACTAGAAAGGTCCCTATGGACTACACCACCAGAACGCCCTTAAAGTCTTATAGGCACTGTTACATAGAGGCCAAAGGTGGGCGAAGATTCCACTGTGCATGCAGGAAGACTAGGACAGGCCCAGATCTGGACGCACGTGGTCACCAAGCCTGCAGAAAAGAGGCTAAAGAGATGAAAATGGGGTGAGTTTGAAGCAGCGAAGTTTCGGGGTACTAGCCAGCGCCTGGCACCTCATCATCTTGGGAAAGTTTATAATTGGCTTTGTTTGCAGAGAGGACGGAACCTGGCTGATACTATGTTTACTGTGAAGCCAGAGGACTGGACTCTAAAAGAAGCAAAAACGGCAAGAGGTGGGATCTTGAGAACAAGTTTTGGTGACGATCTCCCAGGAAAAGTGATCTTTTGGGGTTGTTCCACGCACTAAGGTCTTTCCCTATTAACTGGCTGGAGCAACGGTTAAGTGAGAGCCCACCGGGTAGGAGAGGAAGTAGGAAAAGACTGAAAAAGGGGAGGGGGGCGGTGTCCCTGACCTAGAAAGAAGGCGGCAGAGGAAGAAGCTGACTTCAGGAAAGCATTAGCAAGGTGAGTAGCCCTTCAGGAGGAAGAGGTTTATTGGCAAGTCGGGCTGCCTGAGCACACTGCTGCGGAGAGGAGGGCTTTCGCTGAACCTAGGTGGGAAAAGGTCGATTTCGAGGGGGCAGACGGGTTTCCCGGGGCCGCAGGGCGTCGGGCTGGGCTGGGGACGGTAACCTGGGGAGGCGCGCCGCCCCGCCGAGCTTCCTGCGGGACAAGGGCTGAGCCCGCGCGGGGGGCTGATCCGGAGCTCACGGCGAGCTCACCTGAAGGTGCGTCTGGCCCTGAAAGACGAAAACTTCCTGTGTGACTGAGCTGACTGGGTGCGAAGGGCTGAGCAGAGGCAGCGGGACAGTCCACTCGGCGGAGGCCGGGGGGCACGGGGCGGGGCCTGGGGTGCCGCCGGCCCGGGGCGGGTCCCGGCTCCCACACTGGAGCTGCCGGCCCGGGATGGAGGGCGCCCTCCCCCAGTCACTCACAAGCTCACACACGCCGGCCACTGGCCCGCAAGCAGGGGAAAAGCTAAGGTCGCCGAGCCTTAGGACGGCGAAGGGAGGGCCCAGGCCAGGAGCCGCGCACCGACGGCGCACTGGCCGGCCAAGCTCGGCGGATGGGCGGGCGGCGTTACCTGTGTCAGAGAGAGCTGGGCCACCGCAGCCATGGTGTTTCCATCATGCACAGGAGGGGAAGGAAGGACGGGCCGACGGGGGCTCGGGGCGGAGAGAAGGCGGAGGGAGCGGCCGGAGGCGAGGCCCGGGCGGGCGTCTCCCCCAACTTCGACAACTTCCCTCCTCACGCCCGCCCCGCCCCGCCTGGCCACGCCCGCCCGGCGCTAGCAGCGGCAGCACCCAAACGTCGGCACCGGAATTTACGCTTCCGGATCGGAGCTCAAGCTTGGGGCCCCCCTGGGAAAACCCGGTACGGATAAGAAGTGAGGAGGACAGGGCTGGGAAAACTGAAACACCATCAGACTGATTGCCCTATGAACTTTGTGAACTTGAGAAATTACCTACATACTCTAAGTTTCTGTTTCTGAAAAAAATAGGGGAATTCCTACAACCCAGGTTGCTTGTGAGGAATAAATAACGAGAGGAGGGTAAATAGAGCACTTTTTTTTTTTTTTAGTTCCAGATACTTGCTTTATTTTTCAATAGTATAAGTGAAGGAACTGAGACACAAGTTGTGTAGATGAAGAACTACCAGAAATTTAAATATTAGCCTAAAGTCATATGGGGAACTCTGGTGGCTCTAGAGAGCTGTGCTGCATATTCTTTAGGCCAGGGCCCACCTCAGCCATCCTGCCTGCGCTTTCTGGTCTCTTTGGCCTGGATTAATGTAGTCATACATGTAGTTACCCACTGTCAAGGCCTTAGCTCTGGTAGTGTAGTCAGAGGTGCCCCGCTCACCTCAAGGAGTCCACCAACTGCTCAAAGGGGAAAAGAAGGGCAGGCTCCTTTCGTGTGAGGCTCCTGCAGGAGAGTCAGCTGTAAGTTGGTTCCCACTCCAGGACAATGAGCTGTGTTGTTCTGTATTTCTGAATCTCAGACCTTATATTATTGTTGTTGTTGTGTGTTATCAAGTTGGAACCAACATGTAGCTCACCTTCCAGCTGTTTTTCAGAGGCAGTAAATCACATGGGAGATTGCCCATCCTTCTCCAGCTGAGCTTCATCTAAATGGCAAGCTTAAACCACATGCCTTTGGGATTGCAGCACAGCTTCTTACCACTGGGCCAGCAGAGCTCCCTTAGCATGTAGCTTGTGCTTAGTAGATGTTTGCAGAACTTAGTTACTGCCAGTATTAAACATACTACTTACTCATGCTGCCACCCTCAATTGAAATAACCAATCGCCTTACCGGAAATCTTTATGTTCAAAATCTGAGTTTATATGTCACCTACTTTTACCTCAACTTTCAGTTTCTTAAATGTGATCCACATAAGATATTACCTTGCTTTTTAAGGATCACTTGAGAGATTGTTTGCGCTCCGCCCCACTGTAACATTGTCTTTTGAGTTCCCCAAGTCATTCAAGATTTTGCCCATAGCATAGTTCAGCACTGCAACTCAAGGCTTGAATTTTTTTTTCCCGTTCTCTCAGCTTGAAAAAGGCAAAGAAAATTTTTACCTTTTTATTCTCTGACTCTAACTCTGCACATTCTGTTAAAATACTTTGTCTTCTTTGCCCTTTTGAAATCTTCTTTTCATCTCTTTTACTTCTGTACGTCTTCCCTTGGTTTGGGCTTCTTGATAATTTAGAGAAATTTTTAGAGTCTCTCCTGACATCCGTTTTGGTCTTTTCTTTCTCTTCTTTGTACTGATTTTTTGCTCTCTTCATGGATGATACCGTTTATGTCGTCCCACAACTCATTTGGTCTTTGACAATTAGTGTTCAATGCCTCAAATCTGTTCTTAAAATTATTTTTCAATTCAGTTGGGATAGACTGGAGGTCATGATTTGTTTCTTGTGGGCTTATTTTCATCATCTTCAGCTTTATCTTGAACTTGCACATGAGTAATTGATGGTCTGTTCCCAGCTTCTGGCCTGGTTTTGACTATTGATACTGAGCTTCTGACCACAGATGTAGTTGGTCAGATTACTGTGCAATTCATCAGGTGAAAGTCCATGTAAAAGTCACCTTTTGTCCTATTTGTGATGAATAAATCATTGAGTGTACAAAGTTTAATAATTCGTCTTCCAGCCTCATTTCTGTGACCAAGTCCATATTTTCCAACTACCATTTCTTATTCATTGTTTTCAACTTTTGCATTCCAGTCATCACTCATTATTAGTGCATCCTGATTGCATGTGTGGTCAGTTTCAGACTTCAAAAGTTGGTGGTGGTGGTTGTTCGTGCCATCCAGTCAAATATGACTTATAGAAACCCTATGAACAACAGATCTGAACCTTGTCCTAGTCACTGAGTTAATCTACCTGGTTGAGGCTCTTCTCCTTGCTGTCCCTCCATCTTTCCAAGCATGATATCTTTCTCCAAGAATAACCTCTCCTAGCAACATGCCCAAAGTATATAAGACAGAGCTTTGCCATCTTTGCCTCCAAGGAGCACTCTGGCTTCTCCTTCTCCGAGACATATCTGTTTGTTCATTTGGCAGTCCATGGGATATACAGTGCTCTTCTCCAACACCTCAGTTCAAAGGCATTGATTCTTCTTCTGCCATCCTTATTCACTATCCAGTTCTCAGATGCAAAGCAACTGATTCAAAAGACCATAGTCTGAATCAGTCACACCTTCGTCCTCAAACTAACATCATTGATCCACAAGAATTTGGAGAAGTCCCTGACTGCAGACTTTCTCAGTACAATATATAACCTGATCTCCTGAATGCTGGTTTTGTTTATAATCTAAGTAGGATGATGTTGTTGACAGTTCAGGTTTTTTCCTCCATTTGTCCTGATGACGCCTATTGGTCCTATAGTGAGAATTTTTGATTTCTTGATGTTGAGATGCAATCCATATTGAAGGCTGCAGTGTTTGATCTTCTGCAGAAAGTGTTTCAAGTTCTACTCACTTTCAGCAGGCAAAGTTGTTTCATCTGCATAGAGTCCAGCTTCTCAAATAATTTACTCAACATACAGATTGAATGTTGCATGTACCATTGCGTCAAACTGACCCACATTTGACCTTCCATTGAGTTTTCAGAGGCAGTGAATCACACAGGAGGAGACTGCCCATTTTTCTCGCACAGAGCAGCTGGTAGATTTGAACTGCATTCCTTTGGGATTGCAGTACAGTATACAACCTTGACTCATATCTTTCTTAATTTTAAACCATTTAGTGTCCACTTGCTCTGTTTACACAACAGCTTTTTGGGGTTTTTGGGTTTTTTTAACACTTTTAAAAATTTTTCTTAATTATTTTGTGTGTGTGTGTGTGTGTATGTGTGTGTGTGTACCATCAGATCTGACTAGTACAAGAGAAGATTGTCCCTCCTTCCTCAGCACAGCATCTGGTGGATTCACAGCATCTGGTGGATTCGAACCACGCACCTCTGGGATTTCAGTGCAGCTTCTTGCACCAGAGGTTGCCTAGGTCGAGGTTGAGCATGAGCGGGGGTTTTCATTCTTCTCAATGTTAGCCATAATTTTGTTATTATCCACACAGTCAAATGTCTTGCATAGTCAGTAAAACACAAGTAGACATTATTCTTGTATTCTCTGCTCTCAGCCAGGACCCATCTGACATCAGCAATGCTATCCCTGGTGCCACAACCTCTTCTGAATCTAGCTTGAACTTCTGGCAGTTCCTGTATAGGTACTGTTCTAGACATCTTTGTACTATTGATCTTCAGTAGTATTTTGCTTGCATATGATAGTAATGATATTTCTTAATAATTTGCACATTATATAGGATCACTTTTCTTAGGAATGGTAACAAATATGGATTTCTTCCAGTCAGTTGATGAGGCAGCTGTCCTCCAAATTTCATGGCATAAACTGGTGAGAACATCCAGGGCTTTATCTGTCATTTGAAACATGTCAATCAATTCCTAGGGCCTTATTTTTTGCCAAGGCCTTCACTGAATCTTGAACATCTTCCTTCCTTACCATTGGTTCTTGATCCTATGGTATTTCCTGAAATATTTCCATGTCAGACAGTTCTTTTTGATACAGTGCTTCTGTGTGTTCCCTCATCTTCTTTTGAAGATGAATCAAAAGTTGGTAGAATTTCTCTATTTCTTTCTCTTTGTTTTTAACTATTGTGTATATATTTGAATAATAGTGGTATTAACTGGTCTTCCTTGTATGCATGTAGATAGTATCCTGTAGCCCACAGAATTATTCCTAAAGAGTTGTTATTTGCCATCAAACAGAAACAATCCATGGCTGACCCTCCAGCAGGATTTCAGATGCAGTAAATTGCATAGTAGGAAACTGTATAACTTTCTCTTGTAGAGCATCTGGTTACTTGAAATGGTCTTTTTAATGATGAATGCAGCACCATTCTTCCTTACTTTTTAATTCCCAGAAGAATAAATCATCTGACTGAATGAAAGTTGCCAATGGCAGTCCATCTCAGCTCATTAATGCCTAGAATGTCAATCTTTATGCATTCCATTTAATTTTTTACAATGTCCTATTTTCCTATGTTCATATTTCATAAGTTCTATGTTCCAGATATTAGTGGATGTTTGTAGCTGTTGTTCCTCATTTTGAGAGTCTTGCAATTTGAGGGCTCTGCCTCCAATGCTATTCTTAACTGTATAACTGTGCTGTATTGTTCATAGTATTTACTAAGGCCTATTGTTTGAGAAGTGGCTGACCAATTCTTCTTCCCCGTCTGTTTTAATTTGGAAGCTCTGCTTTAGCACAGCATCTGACAGACAAGTGCTGTACCTATAAGAGCTAATATACACATTTTGAAGCTATTAAGAAGAGCAGTATGCACTATGATAAACTAGACAAATAGACAAATGACTACCCTTAAGAGGACACTAAGGAACAAACAAACATACAGATATAATATGACACAGGCAGCAGGGGCTTGCTCAGATGATGGTTCAAGGTCTAAAAGGCCCAGAGATTAGGCTGGCAGGCAGGTGTTGGTCTCCCTGGATGAGGAGGCTGAAGTGCCAGGTAAGGCCAAGTTGAGCCTAACACCAAGCAGGACTCAGTATCCCCAGCCAAGACTGCACTGGCATCAGATAAGGTCTGGAATATGTTATATTGTTCTTATGT